CCGCGTAAGCGATGGGACCTCGTTGATAGGCAAGAGAGATTCCCACAGGGCTCTGATCATGTTCTGTGGATACGGCAGGGAGAGGTCAGAAGAAAAAACTAGCCTACAAGCTGCCCAAAAGAGGTGAGGGGGTCCTTACCATAGGCTTCCTGCTCCACCAGCGGGACGCCTTCAGCCGGGCCTTCGGGGGCGAGAAAGGGAGAAACGGTTTGCAGAAGAAGAAATCGACCAAAGAGATCTCCTGCCAACCCCCAAGGGTTTGGGATTCCCGCCAGCACCAGGATCGGCTGCCTTGCCGTCTGCCATTTTTCGGACCCAGTGAAAGCAGGCTGGGATTCCCGCCAGCACCAGGATCGGCTGCCTTGCCGTCTGCCATTTTTCGGACCCAGTGAAAGCAGGCGAGGAGAAGAACCAGCCCGGGTGGCCTTGAGAGAGTCGGAATGGACAGAAAATATATCCGCACCTCGTAAGCGATGGGACCTCGTTGATAGGCAAGAGAGATTCCCACAGGGCTCTGATCATGTTCTGTGGATACGGCAGGGAGAGGTCAGAAGAAAAAACTAGCCTACAAGCTGCCCAAAAGAGGTGAGGGGGTCCTTACCATAGGCTTCCTGCTCCACCAGCGGGACGCCTTCAGCCGGGCCTTCGGGGGCGAGAAAGGGAGAAACGGTTTGCAGAAGAAGAAATCGACCAAAGAGATCTCCTGCCAACCCCCAAGGGTTTGGGATTCCCGTCAGTGCCAGGATCGGCTGCCTTGCCTTCGGCCATTTTTCGGACCCAGTGAAAGCAGGCGAGCCAGAAAGCAAGACGAGGGGCGCCGGAGAAATATGCCATCCTCCTCTTCGCCCCCTGTGCCTGCTTTTGCCTACCTTGGTTCTGCTGATGGGGATGCGGCTTAGGCTCCTGAGCCGATTCAGGGGCTGCCGGTTGGGGCTTGGTCTTGCTGATCGGCATGGGCTCTGGGAGCATCTGCTTCGGCAGACCCTTGAAGAACCAGGCGCCCGAGCGCTTCCATACCTTGTGGGGGGGGAGAGAGAGAAAAGGGGGCAGGAGCTTGAACACTGAGCTCACGGGCGTTCAGAAGGGCCCTCGGCCCAGGCTGACTTGAGACGGTGCCACTGCAGGAGGAGAGAACCAAGCTGGGAATGTGGTCTCCTTTGGACTACAGACCCCATAATCCCCAAGCCTCCATGAGCAGTGTCCTCCTTTTTTTCCCCCCATCCTTCCCAGTTGGCATGCTTCACCTTTTTGGTGGTGGTGGGGGAAGCACTGAGGTTACCAGACCCAAGGGTATAAAAATGCCCAGACTAGCCATCTGTCCTCTTTTACAAAGGTGATCTTTTGTCTAGCAAAAAACAGTCCACTTGGGACAGGTGTTTCCAGATCAAGTCTGGCTTAAAAATTAAGACCCACGAGACACGCAAACCTTTTTGATCCCCTAAGGGAGCACCCCTTCTAAACATGAGCTGACCGATTCTGTGGATGGGCAATTTCAAGGCCCCACTTTTCCCTCCTTAGAATTCTTCCTCTGTAAACTAGACTTTTAAAAAGAGGCCTGTCCTCTAATCGTGCAGGAGGAGCTGGGGACTTCTACGCTGGGGTGGTAAGCGAGGAGAGGGTCTGATTCCTGCCCGCAAGAGGGATTCAGCACCTTGGAGAGCTATTTTAAAAAAAATTAAGGTGAAAACCAGCACAAGTTCACTATCTTGTGAAATCAGAACCTCTCCCATCTGAAGGTCCGTCCCTCCACCTCCTCCACCACCTGTTGCCACCGAACAAAAGCATTGTGGTGCACCACCGGCACGACACACCTGGGCTTGCTGTGTGCCTTTGGTACTCCTAGCAGAAGGGAAAGCGGGTGGAGGAGGAAGAGGGAGAGGAACACACCAAGCTCTCCTGCCTTCCTCCTTCCCTGCTGGGAGAAAGACAGCCGAGATTTGAAAGAAGGCTGTGATTCTCCCAGCGGGAGCTGAGAACAGCGTGCTCGGAGGATCAATTGTCTGGCCGCATGGCAGACTGCCTCCTCTCTGATACCAAACATTTAGCCCCCGAGCGGCCTCCAAAGGACACCTCTTCCCACCCCCTCTGGGCTCGCTGCCTGCGATAACCGAGACGCCGTCACTAAACCTAGATCTGCGGCTTGAGTGTCCACCCCCCGCTTCTTCCCACTCCTCCATTTTTGGGTGTGGATTCCCCCTCTTCTCTTACCCGTAACAGAGCTATGTGGTTTTTAGATTTTTGCCAATTTGACAAATACACAGCCAGCATGGCGAAGCGAAAAAAGTGTCCGAACGACGGACCCCGGGGCAATTCAAGGGGCAATTAAGGGTGAGCCCACCATCAAGGATCAGGAGAGGGAATTGAAATGGACTGAACCTGCTGAGAGGAGAGAGTCTCCATGTTTCAGCGTGGCAAGTGGCCTAAATGAACAAGGACATTCATGGCCTAGAAGCCCCCATCGCTCCTAGAACAGGGGCCCGCTAAACAGAAGTGTCCCGTTTTTGGACACCTTGGTACCATCAGCCACATTCTTTGGTCATGTTGTCCGGATGACTCTGAGAGGGAAAGCCCAGAAAAACAACATCTCCAAGCACGGGATATAAGCGACACCCACCCATTCAGCCTCAAACTGAACCAGCCACATCCGAACTCACCTCTCTCTGTTCGATGCAGATCTTGCACAGCCATATGGAGTGGGGTTGGTTGTTGGTCGTCTTGATGCCACACTTGGTGCAGACGTTCTGGGTCAGAAAGAAAGACGTAACAGGGGGGGAATGTGATGCCAACGGAACTGAAACCCAGCCCTTGAAATCTTGCTCCTTTTTTCACAGACCAAGCTCGGTCTGGAAACGGTCTCTTCTCTCCCAATCCAAGAAGGATTGGCTAGAAAATGCCCACTTCCATCTGAGACGGCGTTGATCAAGGCCAGCCTGGTGGCAAACGTGGCCCCAAAGCAGATGGGCCGGGGTTTGCCAAGCAGGTGCGCCAACACTCTCCAGATGCCAGCACGTCAGCTCTTTAGGGGAAGTTACCCAGAGCTCAATTAAGAATTTAATCACCGCACGCCAAAGGGCGGCCTACTTTCAGGATGAGGAGGAAGGAAGAGCACCTGGTGGTGAGAGCTTTCTGGTGGAAGGGGTGCTTCGGAGAGAGACGGGGATGATGGGAGTTGTACAAAGAGCGGAGGACAGGAAACAGAAGAGACTGGGGGACCCCTGGGATTTAGGACTTTGAACCTATCCAGATGTTGATAAAAGGATTTAACTGAACATGTGAGCAAGGAGAGAGTTCTCAGCCAACTTGAATTCCTGTCGCTCTCATCATGTGGAGTCTGCATGATGAGGAGAGCATCAAGGAGGGTCTCCTCATGAGGAGGGTCAGAGCCCCTTCCTTCTTCCCCCTGTTGAGATCCACCTTGTTCTGATACCATGATATGGCTTTACTGGGAAGGGGGTGAATCTGAGATCTTCCAGAAAATCTCAGTGGCTAAAATCCTGTTGCGCACTTACGCAAACAGTGTCACATTTGGAGGCAACTTGCCGTCCATTAGGAAATCTGTCGCATTCGAAGTCACACAACTCAGCATGCAACAGGTAATGCCTACAGAGATTTCTTAACTTGTAGAGGCCATTACCCTCTACAAGTTACGCCATTTGAGTAAGGGAGCAACAGGATTCCAGCCAACATGTTTCTGAGCAAATCTCTGGTGGGAATTGTAGGGGGAAGCACCCCGATCTTTATCACTTTGGGGGCTGAACTCAAACCTTGTGTGTGTGGGACAGAGAGAGTGCTGGGCCCTACGTACCTTTTTACAGTCTTCACACACCACGCTCATTGACCCCGGGTGTCCCAGCTGTTCGCCACAGAGAATGCACCGGTTCACGCCGTCGCCCGCCACGTTCCGGCGCATGTCCTCCAGGCGGTTCATGAGCCGTCTAAGGCAGAGGGTGCGACATGGCATCAGAAGCCGAAGCTCAGCAAGTGGTAATGAGTTGCCCTCCCTTAATGAGGCCAAGTCTTGGGAATTCATTCGGGAAGCCCAGTCAAACACTGCATGTTTTGTGTTCACTGGGGACACGATGCTCAAAACCACCTCTGAACTGATTTCGTGGGAGAAGCTGGCACAGCGATGCGCAGCGGGAGGGCAGTTAAGTTAGATGGGCATAAACCAGGAAAAACCAGCCGTCCGTGGTGGTTCGTGGCTACCCACAAAGCATGAGCCATCAACCGCCACCACCCCCAAAAAACGAACCAATTTGTGGTTCATTTTTGTGCTCATGCCAGCAGGGGCATCCAGAGACTTATAAGATGTTTTTAGGAAGTGGTTTGTGAATTATGCTTTCTTCCTTTATTTATCTGGCATCAGGAAAGGACCAGAAAGGACTAGGGAGGGGAAAAATATTCATTAAATACTTCACTCTCATCATTTTAGATTGCCTTGACATGATGAGAAACCTCAGTGAGGAATTTTAAAGACACTCCCTCCCCAGCAGTCCTGGTTTCCAACTGAGAGCCAGTTGAGCTGCTTCCCCCACCCAAAGGTCTGTTTAATTTGCATTACATGCCCTAAGTGTCTGTTCTCCTTAAGAAGCAAAACAGCAAGCACAGATCTACAGTACAGGCAAATTCTTAAGAAAGACACGAGCAACCCATTCATCAGTGAGGAATTTTAAAGACACTCCCCCCCCAGCAGTCCTGGTTTCCAACTGAGAGCCAGTTGAGCTGCTTCCCCCACCCAAAGGTCTGTTTAATTTGCATTACATGCCCTAAGTGTCTGTTCTCCTTAAGAAGCAAAACAGCAAGCACAGATCTACAGTACAGGCAAATTCTTAAGAAAGACACGAGCAACCCATTCGGTGCTTTAAAAGACAAGTGAAGATATCATCCTGAGGGTTCTTGTTCCTCTAGAGAGTGTTCATGCAAAAAAGTAACTTTTCCACTTCAAAGGCATCGCTTTCCACATGAGGATGGCGGTTTTGGAGGAAGGGACGCTAAGTTGTCCCTCACTCACAAGCTGATTAATTTGGGGCTGGGCTTATGTGAATCAGGCCACAACACATAGTGATTAGGATATCAAAGTAACCCTGAGCTGGTAATATCAGGATGCCCTACCTCACAGGGGGGTTGTGAAACTAAAACAGCCATGTCTTCTTCCCTGATGTCTTTGAAGGAAGAATGAGATCATTAAAAACTTTTTAAAGGGATTTTCTGGATGGCGCTGCTACAAACCTCTGTTATCTGGTGTGTGAAGGAACAGAGTACCTCTGAGCATATGCAAAGTGTCTTTGCCTCATTCGTATATTAGAATATTCAAACTGGAGTTGAGGTTTCTCCTAAGGCAATAAATCAAATCTCCAAATTTGGTCTAAAAATTAGCACCCCATCCCTCCTCCAAGAGGTCTCGGCATGGCTCGGCTTCCCTCCTTACTCCCACGGTGCGCTCCGTGGGCACGGATCCCACAGAGAAGTGACAGCCTGTCTCTGCAAAGCAGGAAGGGTTTGAAGCCATTCGGCTGCGGAGATGCTCCGATTTTTTTTTAAAGAGAGAAAAATCCTGGGAGATAAATATAGTACATGCAATAAAAAAGAAATCATGTATTATTTATTCTGTTCCAAGGGAATTAAACCCCCCAAAAAATGAGCAGGGCGTGTAGGAGAGAAGCTTGCTGGAGAGATTTCTCAGAGCATCCTTCCTGCAGGAAACCTCATTCCCTCCCTGTCGTGGCGTGACCCAAATCTGACAAAACCATTAAACCGGCGCATGTTATCCGAAGCAGCCTTTTGTGTCTGCCCGGGGCGGCTTCGGGGGTCTAAAACAGCAACGGTGGCCACCTCGGCCCTGTGGATGCCAGGTGGTCTCGGTTCCACCATCCCCTTTCCCCGTCCGCCCACGCTTGGGCATCTCAGAGCGAGGCGCAGGGGCAACCCTGAGCATGTGCAGAATGCAGGCCGGAATCGTGTGTGCCAATGTGTGCTTTAATTTGCCTAATTCTTGCATAACTGCTTTTTTAGGCTGAGTAGATTAGGGAAACGGCAGGAGAGAGAGAGAGAGAGAGAGATTAAACTGGGTCAATTCCCAGATCACATTTACACGTGCTTTTCTGCAACCGCTCCATCTGGCTTCAGAGCCAAAGTTGGGAGTTCGATTCCCCCCACTGAGCCTCCCTGACAGGGGCTGGACTGTCAGTTCTAAGATGATGATGATGAGGCCACAAAGCAAAGTAAGAAAGATAGTGATCTTTTCTGGTTGCAAAGGTAGAGTGATATCACTACCTTTCAAAAGTAACTTAACTACTGTCAGAGGCAGGGTATGTGGAAATGGGGACCTTTTTCAAGCTTTTTTTTCCTCCTTACAAACCATTTTCTTGTGCCCCGGTGGACCATTCCTTCTCAGGGGCAAACGGTTCTTCGTTGTTTCCAGGCGGATTGACAATCCTCCTGCTGCGGTGAAACCTTCCCTCCTACTCTTTACAGTCACAATGAAGCAGCAGCCCTCCAAGACCCCAAGAAGGGGCGAAACTCAAAACGGAGGACGGTGGAAATGGGCAGAAGGACCCCCAAGGTTTCTTTGCTGCCTGGCTAGCTCAGGGGTGTCCGGCTGCGAAACCAGAGGTTGAAGGTTCGATTCCCGACGCTGCCGCCAGGTAGAAGAGCCGGCCTGGGTGGCCTTGGGCCAGCGGCACCGTCCCAGGGATCCCACCCAGAAGAAGGGAATGGGAACCACTTCTGAGTCTTCTCTACCTGGAAAGCTCGCCAAAGAGTCGCCATACGTCAGAATTGACTCGAAGGCCCGCGTTTATTATTTAATATAAGCAAAACAGAGAGAAAGGGGGCGGGAGGAAAGGAAGGATGGTAGCCCATGGTCACGAGCACTGTTCGAAGCTTTCCGTATGTCTGCACCGATGGGTCCCACCCTCTAGATGCTGCATGTGAATGCCTCGGCAAGTATCCAGAGGAGCCACCGGTGTGCCCATGTGCCCCAACGGCATCCATGTGGAATGCACCGTGGGAGCACCAAAGACTTCTTGACATCCTCGCCCCGATCGATGCAGAGCTGTGACCCGTTTCGAGACGGGGGTTTTTCAACTTTCCCGGTGAGCTCCTTCCCGTCACTCAGAGGAGCAGTTTGTGGTTGGGAATCAGGGGGTGAAGGCGCTGTCGGACGTGTGCGGCGACCTCGTCCGTGTGAGCTCCCTTCTTCTCGCCTTTCCTCGACTCTTGCAAAGAGACCGTTTCCAACACGGACGCCCTTCCGCAACCAATTTATGCTGAGTCAAATCCATCAGGACTTGGGAGAGCTTATGAATGTTCAGATCTCAGAACAGCTGAGTGAGGGCGGGGGATTATTCCACCCCTCTCTGTTCTTTAAGCTCGTCCGGTCACGTCCATCCGTCACTGAAGCTGGCACAGAAAAGCCTGGTTCGAGCTTCTTTACTGGCAAATACTGTCCTTCATTCCCATAAAAGAAAGCCGGTTTGATCAATTCATGGCTTCCATTGAAGCTGCTTATGCCATCTCCTCTCCTGTTTTAAAAAGGGGCAGAATCTCCATACACTTATGCAGGCATGTGCGCAAATAAACTGGACGCCCTTCTATAAAGGAGGGGGCATGATGTGGCCTCTGTTTTGGAGTATTTCATTCAGGGGTTCAAAAACCACAGGAAACGCGGCCACAGAAGGCTGGGCAGGAGCAACACGCACCGAGAAAAATCGTTTGCATTTGATAATGGCCTAAGAAACCTTGGCTTGTATTGAGTCCATTGAGATGGGTTTAAAACACATGTATATATTTTAGCTTAGCTGTCTCTCGCTAGATTCTTGTCCTGAGAAGAATCTTGTTCTTCCTGAGAAGAATCTTATCTCACAGCTCTTGCAAAACAATCTCAGCCAGTTGACAGACTTTTGTGTTTCCTCTTCTAGACAGACCAAAAGCTCTGGGGATTCGTGCCCCCGCTTCTGTTTAAAAGGCCACTCTTCTTCCGAGTTTTTTTGTTGGCGCCTTTCGGTGCTTACGGAAAACCTCAAACGGGCTGCCCCACAGCGTTGAACTTCAGACCAGGAACAAAGTGGTCCAAAAAATAAACCATGCTTTCAGGGGGGATAAAAAAGGTACAGAACATCTTGGAGCAAGTTGCTGTCCTCAGCAAGACAAGAAGAATGTCGCAGGGATGGCAGGAAAAGTACCAATAATATTGGTGCAAAATAATAAGACACATTTAAGGATTTCAAAGGCTCCTCTGCCAGATGGCCAGTCATTTTTGGACGGGTGGCTCTTTTTCCTTCCTTTTCACTCCATCCTGCTGCGTTTGTTTGCTTTCCTTTCCCCCTTGAGAAAGCTAGACTGATTGCTTTTGCAAGTCAGCGCAGGAAGTTGGGGAAGCGGTGGGAGGAACCCTTCCCTTTTCATCAGCCTTTGAGCCAAAAGGGTAAATTAAATTCTTAGCGCTTAAATGTAGGGATTCAATTTCACAGCTGCTGCTGCCGCCGTTCTAACAGCAACAGGAAGGGAGATGAGCGCGCCCAGATGCACACAGGCAATTTTCTGGCCTGCATCTTGCTTTCAATTGCATTTCCCAGGCTGCTCAATCCATTTGAGAAATACCGGGCCAACCAGTCGGATTTTATTTTCTCCTTTCTTTTACAAATCAGCTGCTGTTGGTGGGGTCAAATCGCTTGGATTACAACGGGTTTTACTCAGTAAACATTCCAAACTCCTGGTGGGTTGGACAAGGCGAGGGCTGCAGCTTTTTCTGTCTTTCCACTGGAGGTTTTTTAAACAACGGCTGCAAAGCCATCTGCCAGGGGTGGTTTCAGTGTCAATTTTATCTTTCTGCAGGGGCCAGACTCAAGGGCCTTCAGGGTCCCTTCCAGCTCTACAGTCCTATGACTCCATAATCTGCACCAGAGTGGAGGTGAGAAATAAGCGGACAGATAGCCCTGCTGTGGTTTCTCTCTTGTTCTTCCCTAGATCTACTACAGACTGGTAATCTTCGGCTTCCTTCCTACTTCTCTCTCCATGACAAATTCTGTGTCTTCTTGTGCTCTCATCATAGATCAATAAAGTCAGACTTCCATACAGAGAAGCGAGTTCCAGGGCTTTCTGTATGCAAGGCCAGGATTCTTGGTCTGTTTCCACTATCCTCTAGTAGATTTCCTTAAGAATCAAAAAGCACATTTCCCATTTGTCTGGTGGTGATTACTTTCCACTGCATAGTCTCAAACTTAGCTCTAGGTTGATATGGAACCCCAACCCCAAATAATCCATATTTCAAATTTTGCAAGACCCACTTGGGCTAACGGCTGAACATTGACAACTTCCTGCAATTATTTTGTTGGAGGTTTTTTTTTGCAACCTTGCATGCAGCTTTTAGTTGGTTTGGCGGGGAGGGACCTTTCTGGGCTGTGGCAGCTAACCAATACAGAGCTAACCAATCGTTCCCTCCTGCCTCTCAATTCAAAGAAAGCCCCGCCTCTCTGCCCACTGCTTTTTCCCTCTCTAGAGCATGCTGAGGTCTGTTGCTGAAAGCACTTGTGTTTGTCAGTTTGCTGTTTTTTGATCCCCCCTCTCTAGAGCCTGTTGAGATCTGTTGTTGAAAGCAGTTGTGTTTGTCAGTTTGCTGTTTTTTGATCTGTTCAACCGGAAGTAAAGAAAATGTTTTTTTTTCTACTTTTAATGTCTCAGAGTGAGTTCTTTGAGCCTGTGAGTGCCCTTGAAAGAGAAAAGGGGGTGGACGAATCTGGGGGACCTTGAAACTACTGTATTCTGCTGGGCAAATCCCTCCACTTCCACTGCACAGTTGGAGGAATTTAACCAAAAACTAAAGAACTCTGCAACAGATTCAGCCAAGAAGAATTCAGGGCAAGACAGAATGTTGACTGACCTCAAAAGAAAAGAAAAGAATTCCCAGATTTCCTAGCCAGCACACCAAATGGAGAAATGAGGGGTCCATCTGAAGGCATTCCCCCCCCCAACCTTGTTTCTGGACTCAGACGCAATGAACGCCTGTCAGTGGTAGATGCTACTTGTGTGGGACGTGACCCAAAAAAGGGGGGGGAGAAAGACGGATATTTAAAAACCCAAAGTGCTGCAAAATTGGAGGAGGAGGAAAGTGACAGGAGCAGGAGCTGAAGAGAAAGTACGTTTATTTTAAATCCTTTGGCCCATGAATCACGGACTCACCTTAGGGTTATGAGAAAGGACCTTTTCTTAGCTCTAATAGTAGGAGCTAATAAAAACTGGAGGGACTGGAGCAGATACGTAGCAGAACAGCCTCCCGGTGAAAAGCTCTCTCTCTCTCTCTCTGTCTCTCTGTCTCTCTCTGGCTGGCTGTTTCTCGCAAGGGCTGGAGCACTGCAGTCACTGCCTGGGAGGAAAGAATCAGCCAAGCCAGGCGTTTTCTCCCTCCTGGCCAAGCTGGAGTGCATGTTGGAGCCGGGATTACAAAAATAAAACACCAGAGATCTCGGGGGGGGGAGGGATTGTTGGCAGGAGTGCGCATGCATCCACGCGGCGTTCCCGGCCCCAACTTGCTGCGGCAGCTGCCCTCGTCCCCGTCCGCCCCGTCTCCGTGGTGTTTTGGCAAGGAAGCCCAAAAACCCAAACCATCTTTCTCGCAGCCACTCCGACTCTCCTAAATCCTGCTACAAAAGGATCAGGAGAAAAGAGACCAAGAGAACCGGCAATATCCCGTCAATGGGATTCCACAGGGGTGGCAGGAAGGTATTTTGACACTTGAAAAGGATCCCCTTTTTGGGGGATTACAAACCCCAGTATCCCCTAGCCACGGTGGATACTGGGAGATGCAGTCCGAAGCCAGGATGGTCGGGGGCGGAGAATCAAGGAAGAGCTGCTTACCCAGAAGAGGACTGCCTTCTACAGGGGGAAGATTTTACTTCCTCTGCCCACAGGAAAACCGGATTTTAGCAAGGGGAGTGTTGAAGCTCTCCTGCTTAAACTTCCTGAAGCAAGGGTGGGGAACGTAAACCCTTAGGACCAAATCTGGCCTCACCTGGCCCTCCAGGTTCACAAGAAGACACCATTCCTCTCCTACAACACCATAGCTGGGTAGCTCCCCAGTTTTTGCTGGGGGTTCCCCTCATAAAAGACGGCAAGACAACTGGATTTGTTACCAGCAGAAAATGCTTCAAGGTTGAAACAGACCTGTATTTTGGGTCCCACCCAAAAAATGGTGATGGCCATCTATTCCCCCTGAGAACTTGAATTTGGTTAAACAGGCTGCAAGGGGATTTCCCCCACCCCTGCTCTCTAAAGGACACCATCATCCTTTGATGTAGGGTTTTATCTTATTGGTTTTGTTGGCTGGTTGGCGGTTATTGTTTATTTTACCTTTGTAAACTGCTTAGAGTAGGGTCTAAGCAGTTTACAATATCAGTAGTATATAAGTCAGCAATATATAAATGCATGGTATATAAGTCAGCAGTATATCAGTCCATCAATTAATCAACCACCCCACCCGCCCACCCATCAACTGACCAACCGACCAACCGACCGACCGACCGACCGACCGACCGACCAACCAACCAACCAACCAACCAACCAACCAACCAACCAACCAACCAACCAACCAACCAACCAACCAACCAACCAACCAACCAACCAACCAACCTTTGGTTTCCACCACCCCGATCAAACGCGGCCAACATACCCAATCCGCTCCTGCTCCATTTCCTCCATCTTCTCAGCTCTAGCGATGACCCGGTTAATGATCTCTTTCTCCTCATCGGTGAGTTCCTCGGCCTTCCGTCCTGGCTCCGGCTGGTTCCCATGGGGCGACCACCTGCCGGGGGCTCTAGAAGGAACAGAAAAGGGAATTTCAGAGCAGGGGCGCCATCGTGTCTCAGGAGGACCAAATCCCATGGCGAGGCTCAACCACAGTCAGCCCACTGAATCCCCCATGGAAAGGATGGCAGGCGAGTCCATGGGCTTACTCGAACTGGAGCTAAGAATTAGTCCGGCTGGTTCCCATGGGGCGACCACCTGCCGGGGGCTCTAGAAGGAACAGAAAAGGGAATTTCAGAGCAGGGGCGCCATCGTGTCTCAGGAGGACCAAATCCCATGGCGAGGCTCAACCACAGTCAGCCCACTGAATCCCCCATGGAAAGGATGGCAGGCGAGTCCATGGGCTTACTCGAACTGGAGCTAAGAATTAGATTAGATTNAGCAAATCACTAGGGTTTGAATGGTGAACAGAAACTCATCCAGATCCACTGTGGGCAGCCTCTTCGGGAGGGTGGGTGCTCTGTTTTATTGGTAGATCTGCCGAGGATTGGCAAGAAGCCTATCCCGCATCCCATGAATGACCTCCTTCTGGCTCTTCCCTCCCTCCCTCCCTCCCGCCACCGGTGTCTGTCCATCAGCCTTCTCGGTTTCCTATAATGTGTGAAAAGGCATTTAATTATTCTGTCTCCTCTGGATGTCAGGAGCCCTGGTTCTTTTCCAACAGCTTTGACCCTCCCGTCTCGCTTCCCTGCCAAACTGTGTCATCCCCACCACCACCACCACCACCCCGCTGTCTCTCTCTCTCTCTCTCTCTCCGGATTAAGTTGTTTTGTGACACCAGATGTCCTGTCCTTCTGCAGACAGAGTTGCTGCGGGTGGATGCAATGCCCCCATCCGTGGCGGCAGCTGGCGGGGAAGGCGGCGGGCCTTTCTCAAAACCTACCCAACCCCAGAAACATGTTTTTTTTTTCCCCTGTGACAGCTGAGGAGGAACAGGCTATCTGCCCAGAGATTGGGCGAGTTCCAGATGGGTGACTACCATGCCCATAGTCCTCCAGTCAGCAGAGAGGGGATTCTGGGAATTGTAGTCCGAGCCGGGTTGGTGGCCGAGATGAGAAGAACACGTGCCCTGCCCACAAAAGAATCTGCATTCTGGGAAGTCCCAGGGACTCCGTGTGGAAACTTTGAAAAGAACGGTCTCCCACGGGTGGACTGACAGAGAAGGCCGCCAAGGGTGGGTCCCACGCGACCGAGCTGCGGCTTGACTTCACCTCTGCCACATGCCCGTGTCGTCCAGGAAAGGACCTCGGAAGGCATATTAATGAACTCCACCAGAGCACAAGAGCCTAAGTTCTGCTCGGGAAGCTTTGAGATCGCAAAACGTCCTTGAAGCTCAGGTTCAGCAAAGCTTATCTTAACCAGTGTGTGGACAGTGCCAACCATCCCAGCTGTGGGTCTCTCCTTCCTGCACGATTCAGGGTGTAAAGCCCTCTCGGTTTTCCTTCTGTAGCCAAATACGACCAGCCCCATCAACCAAACCATACACGCTGGGTTCCAAAAGAAGGCCTTCTACTTGGTGGCGCTCAGCCTGTGGAACTCCCAGCCAAGGGAACTTAGTCTAGTTCTACACACACACACACACACACACCTCCCCAATCTCTATGTTCTTCTACTGGTAATAAATAAGCTGTAGATTTGCTGTGTTAAGGCTCTGGATGATCTATCTTCATAAAGAAATGCTCTTGGTTTCAAAGAGTAAGAAGGCATATCTAGTATCTTTTGAACCCAGTACAGGAAGAAAGGATGGCGGCTCGTTCCCCCACTCTCTTGGCAGCCTCGGCCTTTTCATCCCGCGGGCGGTTTGTGAGACAGCCGTTTTCCTCCACAATCCGATTTGAGCGTGTCCGTGAAATGAGCAAACACGGGCTCATCGCTACTACAGGGCCGGGAGGGGAGGGAATGGCAGGATCATCTCTATGGAGGAAAAACATCTGTCGACGCCGTACTAAAACAATCTGATCCGAGCCCCCGTTCACTCCCCAGCAGGGAGATAAATCCTGGTTTGAAAGGAAGGCTAAAAATGTATCTCCATCTGAGAGAGGGAATCTCGGGCAGTGAGATCACACTTGGGTTGTGCAAAGGATACAACAAGCCACAGGAAACAAAGAGAGATGCTCCGTTGTCTTGGGAAATTCTAATAATTAAAAAGCCTTGGATGGGTTGGTTGAATCTTTTCGAACCATCACCTCCTGTGCTTGGCGGGTGGAGGCACGCTTTGTTTCTCGAAGAGAAAGGGCACACGTTTTGTGGAGAGACATTTTGCTCAAATTATGGATTTTTTTAAAAAAAGAAAAAGACCTTCTTGTCTCACTCTTCGGTTGGAGGCAAAGGGATTTCACAGGATCTCAGACCTGGGGGTGGGGTGGGGGGCCCAGAGTTGAGATTTTTCTGGGCTTGTGTTATAGGGCAAAGAACATTCCCAGGCATCCATTTAGAAAGATTTGAGAACCAACTTTTTTGCTCAACCACATCAGCACGGGGTCAAGATGCTCCATCACACATCCCTCTTTCCTTGTCTAAGAGTTTGGTCTGCAACTTCCTAGCCACCCCAGCCTGGCCTCTCAATTTATCAGCAAGAATGTAGAAAGCTTCTTTGTGAATTTTTTTGGCTCAAATGGGTTATCTCGACCCAGCGAGAAAAACATTCAGGCCATTCTGTGAGGGTGAGTCAAGTCAGGATTTCTGCTCCTAATGACAGGTCCCATGCTCCCCATCCGGGATTATCCATGGATTTACCGATGGGGGTGGTTAGAATTGTAGCCCATAATATCTGGAAGGAATCCAGAGGCAGAAGGCTGAGCTGCTGGGCAAAAGGGAGCCAGAGGAGGGGCAGAAGAGCTGAAGTTCATCTATTGATTAAAAATGGTAAGCCAAACCTTGGACCACAGATCGATAGACCAATTATATTTCATGTCTAATCAGGCCCTCCGTAAATCTCCCACTCAAGACCGTTCCCAGAGCCTTTGCTTCTGTTATTGAAACCATCAATATATCAGTCTGGTCTTTGTGGCACAGCAGGTTTCTTTCAAGTAAAGTACTGTCTTACTTCCGATCAATAAACCATCTTTGCTTAGGTTGTCCGGTTTACTCACGGCTCTTCAAAAAAAAAAAAAGTAATAAAACATACCACTGAACACGTCTGGCTGTAACAAAATATCTCCCAGCAATAGAAACCAAAAAGGTGAGATTCTAAGAGCCAGTTTAGGCAGGAGATTTGTCCGGACAAATTGCGATATATATATATACAGTATATACTTTCCAGAGCGATCAACAAAGTTCGCCTGGCAGACCCTGCGGCTTCTTCCAGAGTGCACTAGAGTTAAGTGAAGAGCGCTCAAGTGCACTGAAGTGCATGATGTGGTTCCTCAAGGTTCAGGATGACGAGTGTTCGTTTTAATTAATTCTGGCATAAGGAACAGACTGGTTAACGCAAGGGTGGTCAGCCTGTGACCTCTGCATCAACTTGTGACCCCCCCCCCCGCTTGCTTACNTACCTCCCCCCACACACAGGGTTACACCAATCAATTCATGGATGCATTGCTGGGTTTAGGAAGCTCAGAGACCGTGGCCAGAAAAAGGCACCAGTTGAATATATGCATTGATTTAAAAAGTTACTTTTTTGGATCACAAATTCCAAGATCCCTCAGCGGCCTAAGACTGAGCAGCAGGACATTCCTTTTTTTTCTCACAACAGCTCCCAGAATCCCCAGCCAGGCATGTCCACTTGATCTTGCAACATTAAAAGCCATTGACTTTACAAAACACCCGCCTGGTGGCGACCGGGCAGGCCTCTTGTCCTCTTTTACGGAGAATTGAAAGCCACCTGTCCTGACTGGGGTGGAGTCCTCTCTTTGAATACATGCCCAATTAAAAGAGGAGGGGCCACACGGAAGGAAACATTACCCATCATCCACAGCCACACCTGGGCAGGACACCCACACAGGTTCCGAAGTCAGCTTTCCCCCTCTGGATTCCTGGCAATACAGTATGCTTTTGCTTAGATCGCGGAAATCATCTAATTTCGCCTCTGAATGTGCAAATTAGCTTATGCAGATGTATGCAAATAGGCATCCTCTTTTGTCTACGTCCTCAGGGAGGGGGCCACCCAAAGAGGAGAGGAAAGGCGCTGGCACTGATCTGCGTGTGGCGCCCGTCTGCCGTCTGCCACGGTCCGTGTCCAGGGTTCACCTCTGTGCCAACAGCCGGGTACTGAAGGCTCCTGGCGGGGGGGGAAGGCCAATGGAAGCACTACAAAGCCCAGGGGGCACCGCTTTCCTGCCAAGGCAGTGGTGCGGGAACCTGTTGGCCTCGTGAGCAAGCCTCCGGCACCCGGCAGAAATTGCCAGCCCAAATTTGCAGCTGGCTCGCGCAAGCCAGCCTGCTGTGCCGGCAGGGAGCGAAAGAGGACACGTATAAATAGCGCTGATTGCTCTCCCCCCGCGGCGCGGATCATCACATCGAGGTGGGCTCGGTGGGTGGGGGGGAGAGAAGGCCACCTCTTCCCTTTATTCTTCCAGCTGAGCTGGGCCTCTTCGGAGAAGATGAGGCAGCATCCTCCTCGCAGGGAGACGGAGGAAGGTGTGGCCGCGGTGGTGCTGGCGACAGAGGCTGCCTCTGTGAGGATCGGGCCCCTCGGGCATCTTCTCTATTTAATCAGGAAGAGTTTCATCGCTGGGGGCCGAAGCAGGAAGCTGCATAAGCAAGGCCAGAGGGGAGGGGAGCAGGGTTTTCCCCGTCTCTTGGACCGATGCTCTGTTCATCACCCTTCATCATCTGCACACAACGGATCCCACTGGATTTTGGAAGCCAAGCAGGGTCAGAAGTAGCCGGTCCTCAGGTAGGAACACCCAGGCATCTCCGGAGGGGTGCCAGGGAAGGATTCAGCCCCGAAATCAAGATAGTGGAAGCTGCCGGTCAGTGTCAAGAGAACGGGTGGATCACGGCTCTGACCCCGTGAAATGCCACTCCCTGGGTGGGTGGAATCCTGGCCTCTACAGTTAAATGGGACACGGAGGGGGTGGCAAGCAAGATATTCCTAAATCTGAAAGCCTGGCGAGCTGCGGCTGCCGGTCAGAGTCTGCTGTATTGGGCCAGATGGGCTGAAAAGCTGCCCCAGCCTAAGTAAACGTCTTAATGGTTCCATCCAAGCTTCTTCTTCTTCTTCTGCAGCTGATAGGAGGTGTAGTCCGACAGCAGGTTCTTTGCGCCCAGAGCCACATGGAACGGGGGGCTTCCATGAGAGAAGTCCACCCCTCGTCCGGATAGGAGTTCTGCCATTTCCTGGCCTGGCCCCCGTGAATCACTACGCATTTTTTTACGGTCAACTGGAGACTTCAATGCAGAAGGAGCATGGTTTCTTTGGATTTGCGCCCTCCAACAGAGACCTACAAACAACTTAGCATCTAATGAACTCTCTCTCTCTCTCTGTCTCCCTCCCCAGGCGTCAAAGTAGTTAATAAGCAGCAAACTCTTCTTAGAGAGAAATGGATGCATGCATTATTTAAATTATTTGCACTTAATTCCAAAGCTCGGTTCAAGACAGGCAGAGGAACAGAACGATCCAGTGTTCAATTAAGCCAGGCAGGGTGGATCTCGGACATGCTGAGGTTGAAGGCGAACACGTTCCAGGAGACCTCGCTCCTTCAAAGAGCCCGGGTGTTAAAGATGGTGTCCTTGTCCAGGTTAATAATAAAAATAAACGGACCAAGTCAAGATCTTGGGGGATTTCCAGATCCAAACGGAGAGGCCCCTCGAACGGAACACACCGGACAGAGTAGTCATAGAATGCAGAAAAGTCTGGATGGTCAACATGGCCATTCCAGGGGAGGCCAGAGTTAGAAATAAAGAATTGGAAAAACTAACCAAATACAGAGAGCTGGCAAATCAAGACATCTCGGAAGAAACACACTTCCGTGGTCCCCACCATCCTTGGGGCTTTGAGAACAATATCAAGACATTTCACCCAGTAGTCTAAGCGGTTGCAGATCTCAGAAATCACATCAACAGAGCTGCAAAAAGGGGCAACATTAGGAACAGTGTACATCCTGCGCTGATATTTAGCCGACCCTTAGGTTTTGGGTTGTATACAGTATATTGTATAATACTAGTCAATGTTTTTATCGTTTTGATTGGCGGTGTCTGGTGTTTTTGAATAATAATAATCATCTTAGAACTACAGAGGTAGAAGGGGACCCTATAGATCATCAAGTGTTGTTTCCAAGACCTGCCTGAACCACAGCAGTACAGGTAGCCAGGATCTCACCTGCAGATGCGCTTTGCCAAAACTAAAGCTAAAACTGAGATATGAGCCAAAGGGCCAAATAAGCTCTCTGGGAACATGGAACAAACCCCCATGGACAAAGTCTGCTTTTTTCCCCACCACTTGAACCCAGCACCCAGGAACATCTCTGTAAAGTGTGGCTTTAACGGACTACAACACCCATCACCCCCAGCCAGAGTGTGTCTGGGGATGGTGGGCATTGTAGTCCCAAAAAAGAGGCATATTTTTCTCGATTCTCTGCAACGCTCCCCATTTCCGGTGCTCCCGCGCAACCGAGGCACCGAAGCCAAGCCATGGAGATGACGGCCGCATCTGGGTGAGGGGTGGGGGGGTAGGGAAAAAAGGCACAGGGGTGGTGGTGGTCGGATCCTTACCCGCCTCGCAGGGCCATCTGCCGGTCGTTCTGATACATCCACTGGCTGCTGCTATTGCCGACCACCGTGTCGGTCATGGCCGAAGGTTGACGCTACCTGGGAAAGAAAAGGAGGGCAAGGGTTCACAAAGTCACTCAGAAAACAGGCAAAAAGTTGTGATGATGGAAGAAAAACAGGTTAGCAGGGGTCCTTCTGCCCCTTCATATTGATCTCTTCCAGCACTGGCTTGTACTTGAGTCTCATTTGACACGATAACACCCATTCCTACCCTTTTTTTGTGATAAATATTTATTTCTTAGGTACATTTCTGCCTCTCTCCTTTCTCACCACGGACGTTCGTGACTCTCCTCCTCTGGGGCTTTTTCTCCCCAGGTGGGTGAAGCAGAGCACGTGGCTGGCCCAAGATGACCTCAACCAGGACTAGAACCTTGACCTTCCAAGGCCCGTCGGCTCCGTCGCTCCAAGCCGGGCACAGGCACACTCGAGACGTCACGTCATCTGGATCAGAGGGAACCCCTTTTCCTTTGGGCTTCTGCACAACCCCTCAAAAGTGGCGGGCGGGCGGCCTCCCTCGCCAACGAGGCACGCTTGCAGATGCTGGACAGGGCGAAGCCCGGCCGCACGAGGGACAGGCGGTACAGCCTGGAAACGTGGCAATCTTCTGTGGCCGTGTCCAGATCCTGCCATCGAAGCCGTTTTCCAGATTTTAGGGCTGTTCCTCCATACCGGATAAACCCTCCGGCAGTGTTGCTTTTTCCAAATGATTTTTGGTTTTTGAAAGAGACAATCGACAATCCCAGCCAGACCAGCCAAAGGGAGATTTATTTTTTAAAATGGATTGAAGAGGTTTAAAAAAGCTAGAGGCGGGGGGGGAGGCAAATCTCACGGAGCCCCACCTAGGACCACCTGCAGGTCTAGAAACATGGCCCTCATTCAGAGCTGGAACAACCAGCCGGCATGAGAAACCAACCAATGCTCCAGCCAACCAGTTTCCATCATCCCCCCCCCCAGCTCTGCAATGCAGGTTTCTTAAATATTGAACAAGCCAGCTGAGGCTCTCTCTGCTCCTGCTTAAAAAAAAAAAACAGCTCATTTTCTTTTTCTTTCCATTGACAAACCTGGGATGCAATTAATTTCGTTCAAGAAAAGGGTGGATGAGAAAAGTCTGGGGGCCCCAGCCACAGGAAAGGAGCAGAAACATGGGTGCAAGAGAGAGGAGGTATGGAATAAAACCCAACAGCTTTGTGTTTTTCAGACTGGATTAACTGGGAGCAGAGGGACGGCTTTGACAAGACCAGTTTCCATATTATTTATCATAATCAATTACATTTTTACAACACACACAGACACACACACACACACACAGAGGGAATTGTATAAGGTCCTTCTCCTTCACTGCAGTTCTACAGCCACAGTGAGAACCCATCCCTAGAGCTGACAGCACCGTTAGTGTCGGAGAGTCGTGATTCAGGCAGAATTCCATGCCTGGAGAAAAAAAATCAGTCTTCAAAAGAAACACCGGCTTACGTCCTGAATCACAAGACATAGCACAATAATTTGCCGGTCATGGGAAGAAAGGCGCTCCTGCTCTGACACTCACACAGATTCAGCCCTTATGGATTTTCTTCTGCCAAGGATGGGTCGTCTATAAAGTCCGTGTCGGCCCAGCCTCTGTGTGTCTCTCTGTCTGTCTGTGCAGAGAAGGCAGGGAGAGTGGATTGCTTTTTCTGAGAAATGTCTAAAACCCTGGGATGAGGGGGGACTTCCGTTAGCCCGGTAAACAAATGCAAGGTGGCCGAGGGAGGCCCTCGGCTTCACCCTTTTTCCTGATTTTTTCTTTTAAAGGCTCTGCCGTGGGGCCAAGCGCCACCTTTCAGCCCCTGTTTCGGGAAGGGAAGGACCACATGCTCCAGAAACAATGCCACCTGTGGGTGTCCCATCCTTTCCTGAGACGTCCGCGGGTGAAGAAAAGGAAGTAAAGAAGATGCCTGCGGCCGGCCACTCTCTTTCCCCAAAAAATCTCCTTTCCGAGGAAGCAACGCCTTGCTGTGATTCTCTCCCCCGGCTCTGTCGAGGGTTCGCTTAAGAAGGCCCTTTTTGAGCCAGAAAAAGACCCCCCGTCCCCGGTGTCTCAGCCCGGCCTGCCATCGCCCGCGCTCTCCGGCTCAGGAGGGAGCGCCGATCCGATCCAAGAGACACCCTGCAGCTTTCAATTAGTGATTTAATAAGCCGTTGTCTGGCGTGTCCATCTCCCTCTAATGCTCCCGCTCAGCTGGCGCAGAGGTTTCAAGGCCCCTATCGGCGCGGCATCTCGCGGCTGACGACGCTCGGCGCGTGCTCTCCGGGCCCTGTGTTCTAATTAAAACCCTGTCCGACAACATTGCTCCCCGGGGCTCCCCCACCCACAGCCTGCGGTGACTGGAACACGGGGCCCGGCGCCTGCCGTTTGCCGACGACACCCGGGCGGGGAAAGAGAAAGGCCGGGAAGGCCAGGCTGACCTCACAGGCCCTGAGGATGCAGGGGAGTTTCATTTCCAAAGAATGAGGAAAGGGAGATTTTAGGAACCAGGAACCAAACACACAGAGAGAGAGAGACACACACACATGCACAAAGGGAAAACTGATACTGGGGCCAGCCTCACAACTGGCAAAAACAGAAGGGAGCTGTCCCAGGTACTTAAAAACACACAGAGCAAAGTACAGTACTGTAAATCAAGGGTGTTGCATCAAGAAGCTGGAATTTTATTGTCTCCAGTTGGGTTGGGTTTCTTTTAATTATTCATTCATTCATATAGGCCTTTTGCATTTGCTTCTGCATTTTAATCCCACCGGTTTTATTGCTCGGTCAGGTGTTTTCCCCCCCTCCCCTTTAAGGTCCGGCCTGATGTTATTGTTTTATTGTCCTGTTGTAAAGTAAATGGGCCTAAGCTGGCTTCCTCTCTTCCCGCAGGCCTGGCCTAATGGCCAAGAGTAAACAGACAGTCCTAAACGCGTCACGGAAAGGTCTCGTGGTTCGTTGGGCAGGCCTGCCTTTCCTAGGGTCTCATCCAAGGAAGGTCCCAATCCGTGGGGGGTTCGTCGGAGGAAAGACCAGCCCCTGGAGATTAGAAAGAACCCCTGCTTTGAAAACTGGGGAGACCGTATCCCCAAATTCGGGAGGCATCCTTCTATGCTGAAATGCTATGGGGCACTTCGGCACCGATGGTCCCCCAGGAGCAGCACACGGGGAAAGACGCTTCAACTGGATAAGCGGCCGCTCCGCCTCGGGATCATCCAGTCCAGCCCCAGTCAAGGAGGCCCAGTGGGGATTTGAACCCCCAACCTCTGGCTTACCTAAGCCACCGAGCGATCCAGCAGTTCCAAATGGGGACCAAGATCTATTTTCGTGGATGCCGCCCTCGGCCACTGCAGGGGATCTGGGTGGCTCACATTTTGGGGCCAGGGGGATTTGTAGTGGGGGGAGAATTGGCCCCTATCAACCCTCTCTTCCTCCAGTCCCCAGGATGATGGATAGATGGAAGGAAGGAAGGAGCTGATGATGGATAGAAGGAAGGAAGGAGCCAATGATGGATAGATGGAAGGAAAGGCAAAGAAGTGAGGGAAAGAGGGAGAAAAGGAGAGAGAGAACAGATAATGGATGGATGGTTGAGCAGACAGATGTGCAAAAAGAGATAGGATTGAAAAATACAACAGAAGCGAGGACCCAGAGAGAAAAAGAGAAGGATCCTGGATCCATGGAAAATCCTGCTGCAATGGTGAGGGGGGGATGTTCATTTACATTCAGATTTGGTTCCTCCATCCAGACGGCACAGCACTGCAGCTGCAGCAGTTTGGAACATGGGGGGGGTTTGAGGAAAGGCGTTCAGAGAGAACCGCCGGCTGGGCTGGGCGCTCCTGGCGCTTCCCTGCTGCAGCGCGAGTCGCTCTCCGGGCCCCAGGAGCGGCAGGCTGTTCCGGGCCTGCACCAGGTGGCGGAAAAGATGTGGTAAGGGTGTGTGGGGGGGTCCGGCCCTACGAGGGGTGCAGCGAAACATCCCACGGCTCCGTAAGGGAAGACGCACAGAGAAAGAGAGAGAGCTTACGAGCCAAGTCCACTTAGAGGCACCCCCATGTTTTAATCCCGATAACAGCCCTATGAGGTAGGACAGGCTGGAAGAGAAGCGACTGGCGCAGTTTCAGCCCTGGGAACTCCAGGACTCAAGGAGGGTTTCGATTCAGTCTTCCTATGGTCCTAAACGGCACCCCAGCCGCTTACGCAATCCTCCTTCCTTCTGTGACTGGTCCAAACTGGGGGGGGGGGGTTTCCCTTGTTTTGTTTTAATTTTTTAATGATCTAATCTTTCAACGGAAATCAATCTCCAAGACAGGTTGTGCATTATTTTGAAAGGACACCAGCAAGCCCCCCAGTTCCCTCGGCCGATGAATGGTGTGCCTACATCCCTGGGAAGTCACGTCCTGGGATTCAAAAATAAAGCCCTCCGCCCACTCTACCTTTCTACCCCCTCTTTTTGCTCAGATTTCACTCTCAAAATATCTCCAGGCCTCCATCGCTATTTTTATTTTTTATTTCTCCCCCCCTCTCCTTTTCAAGATCCAAACCTAGCACGGCCGAGGGATTTTGAAAGCTTTGGAAACTAACCATAATCTGAAGACATGACTATACAGGCAGGCCTTCCCTACAGCCATCACCTAGCCTATTTTCTTCCCCCCCCCCCACTCCTTTTACTTTTTCCATCTTGGACTCTCTGATAATTTGGATTTTACCTTTAGTGCTCTTTTAAATTTATTCTTTATGTAAACCGCCCAGAGTAGACACGTTCTAGATGGGCGGTATATGTGAGATAGATAGATAGATAGATAGATAGATAGATAGATAGATAGATAGATAGATAGATAGATAGATTGATAGATAGATAGCTAGATAGATAGATAGATAGATAGATAGATAGATAGATAGATAGATAGCACAAATGAAAAGCCATCTCAGAATTGCTCAGATCACACACCCATCGTGTGGCAGCAGGGCAGACTTTGCAAATAACTTAAAATAAGTAATTAGTTACTTGCAATAAATTCCCTTCTCTCTTCCCAGTGAC